AGGTGGCCATTGTTCAAAATTTAGGTTTTATAACAATCGTTTATACCTGGTATATGAAATGGTCGTTCGAAAAGTAAGCTAATCAAAGGCCATATTTCGTGTTCAACAATTATTCAATTGTTTCTTTTCTTATGTACCATCTAGATATTTAAGAAATCACTTTTTATTTTACTCTGAAAGTTACCGCACTACGTTTGGATCTCAGAACTGTATAAATAGAATGATTAGTAACGCAAATTTTGTACACACTAAAACAGATTTAATTGAGCAATCATTAGAAAGTCTAAGATTATCCTTGCAATATATTGTAAATTAATTTATTTTGTTACATTCACTAGGCGATAATGTTTGACTATGAAAATCCACATCTGCAGTTCCTTGCATAATACATCTTTGTACTAAAGGGTTTAATACCCGTTAATAAATGAATGAATAATGAATAATAATGAAATCTGGATATCGACAGTCACTGGGGTGGCCATTACTTAAAATTTAGGTTTTTTAACGCGAGAACAATCGTTTATACCTGGTATATGAAATGGTTGTTCGAAATCTGGATATCGACGGTCACTGAGGTGGCCATTGCTGAAAATTTAGGTTTTTTAACAATCGTTTATACCTGGTATATGAAATGGTTGTTCGACATCTGAATATCGACAGTCACTGAGGTAGCCATTGCTTAAAATTTAGGTTTTTTAATGCAAGAACGTTTATACCTGGGTACACGAAACAGATCATGACTCTCGATTATAAAGTCCTACCAGCTCAGCATTGAAATGATTATCCAAACGCAATCGAAGATTTTTACAGACGTTACCAGCGATAAACAAAAAAGGGATCACGACGTTTGACGCATTAAAACACACTTATTCCTGTTTGTGTTTTCTTTTTGCGAGCCAGGGGTTATCGGGTCTATATATCAGCGCAAAACGCGCGAGATGACGCGAATCCTAATAAGCCATATATAGTTCGTGCATGAAGAATATGGTTAGGTGCTTCAGACAAAGCAAGCCCCTTCAACTGTTACGAAATTTGAAAAGAGTACATTTACATTTTAAACAAATTTAAAATTGTACAAAAATATGATTTTATATATTTACTTCCCAGCAAAGCTCCTGATTTTAAAATTAGTAGTACAAACATAACTGACCAGTGCACGAGAAGAAACGAAAGAGTTTTGATACACGTTTCTATTAAAATAATTTTCAAATGCTTAGTGCTTTGAAAATCGAACAGAAACGATTGAAGTTTCGTAAGTAATTAATTATTTGTAGTTCGAGGGCAGAACTTTCGTTTCACCCCTTTGCCAAATTTTAAGAGGTTAAAGGAAAGTTTTTCCATTGCTCTGTCCAGGAATTGACAAGGCTCTATTCTAAAGCTTGATATTTTCGTGGTCTCGTTTGGCTCATAGAAACGAAGGTATCGCAGCAATCTAGAATACTCGTAACGGAGAAAACGATTACAATAGAGCGAACAATCTGGCAAGGAAATCGGAGAAACGTGCGCCGAGATTTCTTCTCGATGCCCGGGAACCTCGTGGATCGCATAGGAAAGATATATGACAATAATGGAAAGGGCTCGTAATATAACCGTATTTGTGGCACAACCGACTCGCGGTCTGGATAAAATCTCCAGTTTTTCTCCTTGGATGTGATTAAGATTCCAAACGTATGTCTACCTTGTGTTTCAATTCTTGGAAGACTGGCTCGCTTCTTTTTCTATCTACCTACGGTTTCTTACATAACGTTACGTAGATACGCTTGTCTATAAATCCTGATCATAATCAAATCAATCATTAAAATACAACGTTCGCGTTGAAAAATTATTAATGTTTCGTTTCGTTTTTGATCCTCGAATTTTATCGCGATTATTGAAATCTACTAACTGTACACACATTGTCATTCATAGACACTGACAACAAAAATTTTAAGAAACTTATACTATTTCTTTTTTTTTTTCTATACTAATAGATAATCTTCCAAGAGAATTTGTCAAAAATCAAATTAATCCTTTATAACCCTGTCGTTGAAGTCACGTGCTCGTTATCTACGTCTATTAAGTCTGATTTACTTCTATCATTCATATGTACCAATTATAGCATTAAAACAATAGCATAATATACAAACAATCTATTTACAACTACTGTAGAATATCTAGATTATAATTGAATCGAAGAAATAATGGATCAAAAATTGTTTAGAATAAATTCATCGATTTTGAATTTAAATCGATGCATCCTGCTAGTAAGTTGATTATAATAATTCATACAACGATGATACAGCTGCTTACCGTGCGGCGACACTAAACGCGATCCCCGCTGATAATAAAATATTTATGAACAATATACCAATCGTTTACAGCTTGGCAGCGTATTAATGGCGGCCGCGCGTACGGAATTATAAAATCAATTTTGCCCCGACGCTGGTGAATGAACACTTCCCCGACGGTGTACGCGAAATGATTTACGTAATCGCCGGCGATACCGGATTTATCGAGTTTTTAATTGGTATTAATTTGTCCGGCGTTAACCTCGCGTCGGGCATCTGCGCATCGAAAGCTAAAATCTTTATTTATACTCGGACCGAATTAACCCGATGTCAATGGGCGAATTTATGGTTAATTGCTGGATTCGTATCCGAGCCAGTTGCGGTTTCCTGCACGAAAACTGCATGCAAAGCGCGATGTCGCAACGCGTTTTAAGGAGTTTTGCAAATCCTCGAGGATCTAGCCTCGTGGCACGACAAAATCTTCCGTCTTTCTATCCGTTGCGCTGTTATTGCATTACGTGCCTCCGCGCGATTGTATCAACAATTCGAGCTATCGTCGAGTCATCGAGTCATCGACGTCCACGTGAGAACTGGGTTTCCTCTTGACCTCTTACTTTCGAACAATTTTCGCTCTTCTCGATTTTCTACTCATTTTTCCTTCGATTAAAATAAAAGACGGTCAAACACAGATTACAGTAGAGAATTTATCAATTACACACAAAAAAGATTTTGAAAAAACGAATATTGGATAGTCTCAGTATCCCAGTGTTTTGATTTAACCCTTTGCACTCCGAATTATATTTCAATTTTGTTTTATTTGAAATTTACGTTAACTAAAAAATAGAGCAATTTAAAGAAACAGAGGAACAAATAAAGTCAATTGAATATCTGTTTTATTTACAGTATTGCTGTATTTTGTAATTTTCAAGTGTATGTTTTTGGTTTGGACTTGAAAAGAGGTCAAATGGGATTCGACAAAGGAGCTCCTCGGATGAAAACTGATGTCAAGTTACACTCGACATAGGAGTGCAAAGGATTAAAGAATGTGTTTTAAAATAGATAAAAATATAATCTTTTTGAGGAATCAAAATCAAATTTTGTTCGTCGACTATGAATATTTTCAGTTCTCGCTGAACAATTATTGTTTCCTTCGACGTACAATATACTCGTAGGTTCAAATTCTATCGATTGTCGTTATAAACAGGCTTGGAAGGGGCTACGAAGTCTCGATCGCCCTCCCCCGACGATTAAAAAAATCCATTACAGTAGAACTCCATTTATACTAACTAACGTCGTCACGGTGGCTGGTTAACCGAACATGTTACCGAGTTCCTATTAGGTATACGAACAAATAAACAGTAGTAGAAAGGATAATCCTTAGCCTCTTATTATCCGCACCTTCTTGTCCCACGACCGGTTTGGACAAATGGAGTTCTACCGTATCTGAATTTCATTCGTTTAGAGCGAGACTCGTTGACAAATCATTGGAATATATTTTTATTTCTGATAGTTCAAACTCAAATTCGCAAAAATCACGATTCAATTCTAAAATCGAAAGAATGGATATTAACGGCAGAATTTTAAATAATAAAAAGTCGTTACGTTTCTTGATACTTAAACGAACGTAAGTATCGTTGAGAAGATCTCGTGATAGCTACCAATTATTGTTAACGTCAGAAATCCGTTACGCCTATAATCGAGAAGATTCTTCCTCTGGATTCGACAGCAACCTTCGACCACGGTTCCGACCTACGACCTTTATCTATTTACGAACGTATCACAGGCTGCAGATTCACTATGAAAAATTGACTGCTTGTTCGTATTGGATTAGATAAGTACAATCGAGAAGTTGAATTAGCTGTAAATCCCTGATAATAAGCAGTAAGACTCGGGATTTAAGAAACGCTAACTATAATATTTCCACGGAAAGTAGTGGTTTTCACGGGTCCACGATTTGAACTTCGTGACTGGGAACGTGCTGAGTTATACCGACAAACTAATTACACCCTGATCATTTCACATACGTAAATGTTTCCATTCGATGGAAATCCAGCAAATGCTACACAGCGATGGAAAAGTTTCGCAAACGTAATTGAATAAGATGGAAGTTGACGTGTATTTCCTCTGTCGCTGTTTATTAATGAGTTTTTTCCACGTCGATCATTTAAATTCATCGAGGTATGCGAATTCTTACGTTTTTAGCATATTTCTAACATTTATGAGAAACGTTGGAATAACGCTTTCAGAGTTTGTGTACGTTTTATACATTAAAACCTGATCCGACAAATAAATTGCACTTTCCCTGAACGAAATATTTTATCGTGTTTGATATCTAAACGCTACTGATTTCTAATCAATCCTTCGAGCAAGATACTTTGCAAATTGTTGAGTTATAGCTTCAAATTATGAAAATGTATGCAAACTGGATGCATAAGAAGATTGGAACTGAGGTGTCTATCTTTGTTTAGCACCAATGGAGTGTCTTTACAGTATTTGGTCAGACTTTGCTACTCATATTATGAGTATTTGACTATTAAATTATTTCTACAACCTGCAAATTCTTGTACGAAAGTATTTCTGTAGAAGTAATCGGTTTAAACTCGCCACTCGTGTGTTTCGAGCGCAAGAATTTTCTTTTTTTTTGGGGGATTGCTTCGAAAAAAGTTTGAAAATCACTGTTGGATGCTGGAGATTGGAGGAATACTAACGGTGTATTTTTTCTGTGAATTTCAGACGAATATGCATGCGTCGTTTCCGTACGACGGTGGGCGCAGTAGTGGCGGCGGTGGCGGCGGTGGTGGCGGCGGGGGCGGTGGCGGAAGGGGCGTCGAATATGGCGCCGTTCGCCGTCCCGACGCCCTCCTTCCACCCCCAGGCCTCGACCAGACCGACCTCGTTCTCCACAGCAGCCTCGTAGACGACCCCCAGGTGAGCGACGATGTACGTAATCGCCAAGCATTTTCTCTATTACCATTCTACCGTTGCTTTAATCGAATCACGAAGGAAAATGCTACCCTGGACCTTGGAAATTCCCAAGTACCGTCGATTGCTTTAGGTCATCCTACAAGTAATCCAATTTCTCCGAAGACCTTGCAATAAATAAATGAAACCAATAGTCCTACCTTTTAAACCGCAAATCGGTGGTATTTTTCAATTAAAATATTAATAATGACATTTTTTGGTCTTACGAGTGTGAAAAATGTAAGAAAGATTGTTTGGAATCTCAAGAAATAGTGATAGTTCAGTCTTTTTAAATGTTTCAATTAAATCTTATTAGACAGAGTCCATTTTTCGAAGTCAGTAATAAAGAACAGTATAGATGATCATTTCTTTAAAAAGAAAAAAATTATAACAACATCCCTAAATTAATCTGTTTATTGCATTACTTACAGGGTGACCTAGTGATTACTTTCTTTAAAATGTCTTCGTTTCTTTAAATTTCTATCAAAAGCATTCCGAATGTTATGAAATTCTGATTCGATTCAAAGCCTGAGATTCCATTCGTTCATTACGTAAGTAATTGATTTTCTGCTCGCTGATATTTCATTATTCTTTTTATAAATACTGACGGAACGTTCAGAATTATTCTCATGTACGGCACGTTGTTAAATGCTCGTGAATGACTGCAAAATTAACGTGCGAACAACATTGTTCGAATGTTGAGAGGTCTCCGGCCTTCTATTAATTGGATGAGATAACGAAACGAGAACAGTAAGATATCCTTTGTGGTTACAAAGATCTCATTCTTCTCTGTGTATCCAAGTTCTCTAACTATCGACAATTAAATTTCAATTGTAAATTTTTTTTTAGAAATTGCTACACAAATATCTGAAAAGAACATTTAAATTTATAGCAATACAAAGAAAGTCAGATACTTTTTTAATTTGAAAAAATAGATATTTCTGCATTCCGTTCCCACTAAAAAAATACGCGAGAGTCACGTTCCGAACCGCTATAAATTTACAATAATATTCGATGTGTTCCACTTTCAGAACACAAACGTGGACGATGGAGGGTTCATGAACGACTTGCCTCTTCTCAAAAGTAAGTCTTTCGTACCTCATTCCTTTCGCTGCTTAACGAAACAGCGAATTATAATTCCATTTATGATTACCATTTAAGCCATTCTTTGCAAAACAGTTTGAAGTGTTCGTTCCACCTGTTTACCAGCGACTCATTATCGAAAGTGCCGTTTAAACTACGCGCTTTATCCGGCGCTTCGTCATCCGTACGAGAGTTCGTCTTGACTTTCTCGCGAGGACCGCGTCTCAATTCAAAGCCGGGTTTCCGCGATCCGTAACACCGAGTTACCGACGAGAGGCCCTTCGAATCGAAATTTATACCAACGGCGTCGAATTTACGCCGCGCGAAAGTGCAAAACGCGGCGTCGTCGTAGGGATAAACACGCGCTCGTGTGCCCCGGCCATAATCCCCCGGCTGTATAAAATGTCCGCGGCGCGACCGGAAATATAAAGTAGCCGCGCAGGCAACTTGTCGCTCTTAATTAGAATTTATCTCCCTCTGTGTCGTATCGGCTGCTCCTCCGTGAACGGGGCTGCGGCGGAGTTTCAACCGCGGCGGAAAGGCAAAAAGGCGGATGGCCTTCGTTCGCAGACCACTTTTAATGCGACTCTAACGGTCGTAATTGCGACGCGACGGAAAAAATGAATCGCGGAGCGGCCCGGCGTTGAAGTCTCCGGGCCCGATCAACGACCGATTTTCTCGCGCGGAGACTTTAACGCCAGATAACGAAACATATTCGTCTGTAATTTGTGTAAATTAAGAATTCTTTTTTCATTAGTCTTTGAAAATTGCCTGGTAATTTGGAATGGAAGACGACGCTAAGTTTGATTTAATATTTGGACGCATTAGAATGTTATCTACGACGAGGGATCAAATTTTCTCGCGTGGAGACATTAACGCCAGATAACGAAACATATTCGTCTGTAATTCGTGATTAAATTGAGAATTCTTTCTTCATTAGTCTTTGAAAATTGCCTGGTAATTTGGAATGGAAGACGACGCTAAGTTTGATTTAATATTTGGACGCTTTAGAATTTTATCTACGAGTGATAAAATTTTCTCGCGTGGAGACTTTAACACCAGATAACGAAACATATTCGTCTGTAATTCGTGATTAAATTGAGAATTCTTTCTTCATTAGTCTTTGAAAATTGCCTGGTAATTTGGAATGGAAGACGACGCTAAGTTTGATTTAATATTTGGACGCTTTAGAATTTTATCTACGAGTGATAAAATTTTCTCGCGTGGAGACTTTAACACCAGATAACGAAAGACATTCGTCTGTAATTCGTGATTAAATTGATAATCCTTTCTTCATTAGTCTTTGAAAATTGCCTGGTAATTTGGAATGGAAAACGACGCTAAGTTTGATTTAATATTTGGACGCTTTAGAATTTTATCTACGAGTGATAAAATTTTCTCGCGTGGAGACTTTAACACCAGATAACGAAAGACATTCGTCTGTAATTCGTGATTAAATTGATAATCCTTTCTTCATTAGTCTTTGAAAATTGCCTGGTAATTTGGAATGGAAAACGACGCTAAGTTTGATTTAATATTTGGACGCTTTAGAATTTTATCTACGAGTGATAAAATTTTCTCGCGTGGAGACTTTAACACCAGATAACGAAAGACATTCGTCTGTAATTCGTGATTAAATTGATAATCCTTCCTTCATTAGTCTTTGAAAATTGCCTGGTAATTTGGAATGGAAAACGACGCTAAGTTTGATTTAATATTTGGACGCTTTAGAATTTTATCTACGAGTGATAAAATTTTCTCGCGTGGAGACTTTAACACCAGATAACGAAAGACATTCGTCTGTAATTCGTGATTAAATTGATAATCCTTTCTTCATTAGTCTTTGAAAATTGCCTGGTAATTTGGAATGGAAAACGACGCTAAGTTTGATTTAATATTTGGACGCTTTAGAATGTTATCTACGACGAATGATAAAATTTTCTCGCGTGGAGACTTTAACGTCAGATAACGAAAGACATTCGTCTGTAATTTGTGATTAAATTGAGAATCCTTGCTTCATTAGTCTTTGAAAAATGCCTTTTGGAATGGAAAACGATGCTAAGTTTGATTTAATATTTGGACGCTTTAGAATTTTATCTACGAGTGATAAAATCATGGAAGTGTGTATTAAAATGTTAGTGTATCGAGACTTTGCTTGAAACTGATGAAATTTGTTAGAATGTGTTTCGTTCCTAATAGAGATCTTTGACTATTATATAATTTTACTTTGAAGTCGTCAAAAAATATTTTAGGCATTGATATTGTTTGTCTTTGAGAATTGCCTAGTAATTTAGAAAACGACACTAGCTTCGATTTAATATTTCGACGACTTCGACGGGTGATAAAATAATCAATGTATTAAAATATTAAAGCATCGAGTCTTTGCTTGAAACTGATGAAATTCGATAATTTGATTCCTGTATAATTTTACATTGAAGTCATCGAAAAATACTCTAGGCATTGGTATTTAACTAAAATCGACATTGGTCAATGTTATCGAATGTCCCAAACATAACAGGTGTAACAAATATGATCGCGTACCTTTCCACTAAACCTAAAAAGTTTGTTTACTATCTTAAGATGTGCACAGATGTTAATAAGTATATTCCACCATAAATAAACCAAATATCTGAACTATTCTGTGAACTCGATGAAGGTTCCATTTTGCAGGGAAGAAACTGCGCGACAAATTACGAGTATGCATTTGTACGAGCCTATCCATATTTTTTCCACACGTAACTAAGAGAACATCGATAATAATTAACCAGTTTTACAATGGCTATTCGCTCCATTAATTAAGATTGCCGCGATAATGGCCAGCTGGAAGCTGAATTACCGATTACCGGACAAATTAGCAAATCATACACGCAACATTGCGAGCTCGTTAATTTGAAAACATTGCGATCGATCGACGGCAGAAAATTGATTTCTTATTTCCCGGGCGATCGGCGGTGCAAACCTGTTACCGTCGAGCGCGATAAAAGCCGAACGTCATCGGCCTAATTAAATCTTTTATCTTCCGGAGCGGTTGAAAATCTGAACGGATAGTGGGTCGCACTTTCACGCCAATCGCGCTCCAGATTCTCGGAACCATAAGCATATAGGCAATTTCTTACGGCCGCGTGTATAGACAGAGGAAAGGAACGCCTATAGTCGCGGAGCAGCGGTTTCGTTTAACAAGCTTTTTCGTGTAGGTGCGTAAATGGTTCGCGTGAATAGGATAGAGACACACAGGTGGCAGGGGCTGCCCAATGCACACGGTTGCGTAACGCTGAACCAGTTATCCAATGGTTCAGCGAGGAGGATGTGTTGTGGATCGCGGCAATGGCCGGTTATAAGGAAACTTGTCGCTCCTCCGATCCTCTTAGGCCGTTCTCCCGCCTGACTGGCCACGCTACTCGATCGGAGATCGGCGAAGTACTCAAATTTAAAGCAACAAAGAAAATATGAACCGTTCGTGCGTTACTAATGAAATAAAAATTGAAGTTTAAGAAGGTCAAGTATTTTACAACGAACAGAATATAGATTTAAATACACGTGGAAGGCTTGCAAATATTATGTGTAACACAATAGAAAATATAATTTAACACATTCATGCCGACGTGTACCACCGGTGGTTCACTCTTAAGTGTCATATCAGGAGGCGTGTACCACCGGTGGTTCACAGTTAAATGACACATGTCACATTGGACAGTGGGGACCACCAAATGTGTAGCTCGTTAAATTCCTACTGAAAGTTTAACTTTATCTTAAAGTATAACTAAGAAAAAATTGATATATAGTTGAAAATTAGAATATGGAAAATTTTTTTAAATTAACTCGTCTTCAATCAGTCGAACGAAAGTCCATAAGAAAAATTGAATGCTTGATCAAAAAGGGATTAAATATTCGAATAGCGTGATGAATTAATCCCGGAGGGGTTGAACGAATGGGAATTAATTTTCGTTCCAACGAATTCGTGGAACACTTTTGAGGAGTGTAAACACCAGGGTGGGCGACGTATCGTGGAGAATGTGACGTGTGTCATCGTCTAGTTTAAGTGGGAGAACCACCACATGGGAGAACCACCAAATGTGTAGCTCGTTAAATTCCCTACTGAAAGTTTAACTTTATCTTAAAGTCTAACTAAGAAAAAATTGGAATATAGTTGAAAATTAGAATATGGAAAATTTAAAAAAACTAACTCGTGTTCGATCAGTCGAACGAAAGTAAATAAGAAAAATCGAATGCTTGATTAAAAAGGGATTATACAGGGTGTTCGGCCACCTCTAGCAAAAATTTTAATGAGCGATAGTAGAGACCAAAATAAGACGAAAATCAAGAATACTAATTTGTTGATGGAAGCTTCGTTAAAAAGTTATTAACAATTAAATTCAAAAATTTCCAATCGTTCTGAAAAAATTATTTTTGGTTACGGGGGTTAATTACAATCATTTTTGGTGAGTACACATACCTCCGAAATCCTATCTACTTTCGAGAAAAAAAATCGAGTAGGTGCTGAAATTTTTCGGCGAAAAAAAATTTTTCAAATCGTTTTAAAAAAATTATTTTCGGTTGCGGGGATCAATTACAATCATTTTTTATCATTACACATACCTCCGAAATCGTACGCACTTTCGAGAAAAAAATTCCTTACTGAAAATCCAATTAGGTGCCTAAATTTTTCAACGGAGAAAAAAAATTGCAAATCGTTGTGGAAAAATTATTTTCGGTTGTAGGGTTCAATTACAGTCATTTTTGGTGAATAGACATACCCCCGAAATCTTGCGCATTTTCGAGAAAAAAATTCAGTAAGAGCGGCACTTTAAACGTTAATAACTTTTTAACGAAGCTTCCACCAACAAATTAGTATTCTTGATTTTCGTCTTATTTTGGCCTCTACTATCGCTCATTAAAATTTTTGCTAGAGGTGGCCGAACACCCTGTATATTCGAAAGGCGTGATGAAATAATCCCGGAGGGGTTGAACGAATGGGAATTAATTTTTGTTGCAACGAACTC